TTCTTCTTCCAGAAGATAGAAGACCCAGTGCCAGCCAATAAGGAGAAAGCAACTAGAGAAGTGAAATTAGCCGCATCCTGGAAGGAAATGGCCAAATCACCTTTGGGTGATGTAACAACCCACTATTAGAATCAGACACAACAGGCAGTGTAGGAGAAAAGCATTTTATCATAGATTTTAGGAGAGAAGAAATGTTTAGCATCATAAAAACAGATACAATTCCAGGGATAGAACCCTAAAGGGATTTTTGGGACAGCACTCTAACAAAGCCTTGGGGAGGTGGGGGGGGGGGGGGAGACAAAGGAAATCCATTGACAGAGCTGCCAGTTGCAGGTGAGAAAGGAAAGAGGAATAAGGAAGAGACTTCAGAAAAGGGAAGAGAGAGAATTGAAAACCCTGTTTAGAAAGTCCCAGAGCAGCCCGGAGAGGAGAAAGAAGAAAGTTCACACACATCACAGCTTGATGGAGGGTCAGGGAGAAGGGTGGAAGCAAATAGGGGCAAAGCTGCCAAGATTCATACACCTGACGACCAGATGGCATTTAAAATAATCAGATGCTTGAGAAGGGGCAGCATGGACAGCACAAGAAAATAAATGCTCAAACAATTAAAAGTGATTTTTAAAGCCATTTGGCTTGGGTTTGACTAACGTGTTTGAGTCATGGTTCCAGTATTTACTGGCTGTATGGTGTTAGATAAGTCACTTCTGCCAGCCTTAGTTTCCCCAGAAGTGAAATGGGTCGATACTATATACCTTAAAGGTTACTGTGAAGGCTAAATAAGATCATGAGACAAGAGTGCCTGGCACTTAGTAGGTGCTCGGTAAAGGACACGTTGGTGGTTTTTTGTTGTTTTGTTTTGTTTTGTTTTAGTATTGTTTTTAAATTTGTATCCAAGAAAAATGTATAGTACAATAGTGTGGTACAAACCCAGCTAAGGCTTTCCATCTGTGTGTCACCTGTGGCTGCTTTCTCTTGGCAAGGGCTGACCTAAACAGTTGCAACAGAAACTGTATGGCCTTCAGAGCCTAAAATATTTACTCTTTGGCCCTTTTCTATTTTTTAAATTACTACGAGGTCTAATATATAACTTTGAGGGTGTGAACAGCATTGGCTAACTGTGATAGATCTGTTCTGGAACTGTCTTATCAAACATCATTCATTGTGAAAACCTTTTATGAAAATTGGGTCCTGTGTGGCCACCTTTTTTCTATGGCCCTTTATGGGTAACAATTCCAGACTCTTAATGTAAGTGTACCAGAACCCTGTGTTTGTGGCAGACTCTTACAATGTCTCATGTGAGAAAAGACACAGAGTAGGAGGGTCTTGGCATCCATCTCACCCACCGAAGGGTCCTTGTTGCTGGACCCAAAGGAAGGACAGGTTTCACTGGCCTCCCAGAGGTGGAGAAGCCACTGGAGTGCATGCATCCCATCAGACCCAGCTGCCTGCTCATGTAACTAAGCCCTCCTTGCTCTAGACTGGGATAGAGGACCCAGGTGCAAGGAGATGATGCTATAAGATGAAGAGCAGAGATTCCAATTAAAAATCAGACTGTCCAATCCCAAACAATCCACGAAGCAGAAAGCAAAGGAGAGAGGTAGTCATGAAGACAGACATGGCTATAACAGGACATTTATACTTTCAGATGCAAACAAAAACAAAAAACAAAAACATAGAAATTGTGGCAGGCCAGGCAGACTCTTAAGAACAATGTAAGGGTGTCAGTGCCAAGGATGAGATGGGATTTGGAGAAGTGGAGGGGACCAGCCTGGCTTAGTTCTATTCTGAGCAAGAGAATGAGCACCAAAGGACTGGCCCATAGCAAAGAACAGACATTATTCCATTCACCCATGATAATGTAAGAAACTAGCCATGATCTTTTTGTCTGTCTTCATGTTCAAAATGATTGGAGACCATTTGGGTGTGGCCAGTCTTAATTAGAGAGGGTAGGAGCCCAAGATCCGACATAAGATGATAACATGGCACTTGCTGCTCTGAACAAATGCCAGTCTTCTCTCTTGGAGGAATGGGCTGGAGAGTAGAGAATAAAGTGCATCTGATAAGGGCTTGAGAGATACAAGAGCTGAAGGATTCCCCCGGAGCTGGAGCTCCCCACAATCTCCTGACATTGCCCACTCCCTACCCCCACTTCTGCCGGTTTTGTTTCCTGGGGTTTGCATCGCTTTCTACATTATTATCGCTCCCCAGCCCCCACACCAGGGCAACTGTCTCTGTAGTGAGATATTCTCTGCTCTGGAGACTAGAAGAAAGTGCTATGACCTGAGTGGTCTCCTTGTGGAGGCAACATTTAATAGGTGTATTGTGCAAGCTGCTTGCGTGACACAAGATGTTTCACTTCCTGAGAGGGACAGGAGGATGCCAGGTTTTGCGTGCAGGCTACAAGGCTGGGATGAAGCAAAGAGACTACTGTAGATAACAACGTCAAGAGTCATTGCCCCATAACTCCAAAATTTCCCTGGAGCAGAAAGAATGAGACTCATATATCCTCGACACCAGGAGATGGAGAAGTAGATTGGAGCTTCCTACCTCTATCGCAAGCCCATACATGGTGCTCCAGTTCCTGGCAGACCTCAGTTCCTGTCACTGGCTTTCATCCTTCATTCAGCTTCTAATCACATCTACAGATTGAGAGCACTTCGTATTCTCTGTCAGGAGAGCCCACACAGCTTCCAGACCAACAGATCCTGCTGACTCCAACACAAAGACTCTGAGGGAAGGGGAGACTTGGGGACCAATGGTTACTCTATAGAATGGATACTATGGAATCAAAACAAGAGTTCACCAAACTCCCTAGATGAGGCCTCTGGGGTGTCTGCAGAACCAAACACCCAATTTTATGAGGGCTCAGAGTTGGGAATAGGCTACTGCTTATGAAACTCACAATAAATTGATGCATTGAAAATGCAACTATTAGATACCCGTGAAATATGTTACTTACCAAAGATGGAATTTGTGTGTCTGCCTTCCTGATAGAAAGTCACTGGGAGCCAAGCTAAGAGTCAAAAGGCTGCTTGCTGCAATAGCTAAGACCTGGAAACAGCCCAAGTGCCCATCAGTAGATGTGTGGTACATAAAAAAGCTGTGGTACATTTACATAATGGAATACTAAGCAGCTCCAAAAAAGAAGGAAATCTTACCCTTTGAGACAGCATGGAAAAACCTGGAGAGTATTATGCTAAGCGAAATAAGCCAGTCAGAGAAAGACAAATATCACATGATCTCACTTTATGTGGAATCTAATGATCATAATAACCTGACAAACAAAATAGAACCAGAGGCATGGAAGCCTGGAACAGACTGATGTATCTCACGGAGAATGGAGGAAGGGATAAAAAGAGATTAACCAAAGAATTTATATGCCTTCCATGGGGCAAATGGAGGGTAAGGAGGTTTGGGGCACATCTGTAATACTCTCAGCAATAATTTTTCTAAAGGAGCCAAAAGGCTGCTTGGCAAGTTCGCCCACTGGGCTGCTCTTGCCCCGCAGTAGAATCCCTCGCTCTCCTGCCTGTGAGTCAGAGGCCCTCTCCCTTGGACAGTGCAGAGCAAGCACAGCAGCTGGCTCATAGTAGGCACATGCTTATTTGAGAGAAAACACTGTCAAATTTCCCGCTCACCAATTCAGGCAACACACATTCACTATCTGAGTTTGCATACCAGGCACTGTAATAGACCCAGCTTCAAAAGATTCACAGACTCCTGCTCTACGACATGACTGAGCAAAGTTTCAATTCAGTGCTATGGTGCGTGCGATGATACAGATGGGCCAAAGCGGGTTGGGAGGGCCCTTTTCCTAGACTCCATGCACGGGTTGTGAGCCAGCTACTCATTCATATTCTAAAATGTGAGGGCTGTCCTGAGGCAGGCACTGCACAGGGATCTGGTGCATTTCTGTATCCTAATAACAAAATATCTGAAAGAGAAATAAAGAAAACAATGCCATTGACAATAACACCAAAAATAGCAAAATAGGGATAAATTTAACTAATAAAGAGAAAGAGCTGTGCCCTGAAAACTATAAGACATTGATAAGAGGAATTGAAAAAGACACAAAGTAATGAAAAGATATCCAATGTTCATGGATTGGAAGAATTAATTTTGTTAACATATTTATTCTACCCAAAGCAATCTACAGATTCATCACAATAACTACCAAAATTCCAATTAAAACATTATATAACCTAGGAAAACCCTGCAATAATAGTGACATAGTCTGCATAATGATTGTAGAAGACAATGTTTATTTGCATGAGGACACGTGTGGGTATGTGTCTCAGCTCATGGCCACTTGCCCTTCCATGGACTGGAGAATTTGTTCAGTTTGTCTTCCCCAGAAGTTACCATCATCCTCTTTTTTAAACTTGATTGTGACACCAGTTAACCAAAGAAGAAATTTCTCATCTCAGCACTTCTGCTTTTGTAAGCCATAAAACTGAGGAAGAAATTGGCAGGTGGCATTCCTCTCCAAGGCCAGACGAGCTAGTCTAGAACTCTGTTCTCTCCATCAGTCTTCATTGCTCAGGTATGACTTTAACCAACTCTTATGATCAGGTCCCAAGGGTTCTCTATGTCTCTCCACTTCTCTCTGTCTTCTCTCCCTCTCTCCTTCACAGCCTGAGGGCTGGGATGTTTGCACAAATGCCAGGTGTACTGTCATGCTATGGTTTTAGAAGTATTCTGGAAGTGAATACTGCTTATAGCAGCTGACCCCTGAGAGGTCATGGTCAAAGCCCCTGCTCCTAACAGATGGGCTCCTGATTCAGGTTTGGTTTAGCAAATGTTTCCCTCTGGGCCCAAAGGGAGGTTCTTTCATACATGTGTCCATTCACTCAAATATTGTTTCCTTGACTGCTGTTCATGTACTAGGTGTTGAGGGAAACTCACCTACAGGGGGGGCGTGGCAAGTGTCTCTCATTTCCCCCCTCTTCACACAGGTTTCTGAAGCAGCCACGGCAGTAGTGACTGAACTCACCAGTGAAATGATGGCTTACTACAGGTCAGTGGGGAGACTGAGACCATTGGTGTAGCAGGATTCCTCGTTTAAGAGTGAAGTGCTCTCTGTGTGTGGAGACCAGATTTGTCCCCACACTGCACCTTTCAGTGGCAAGCAGGGTTTCAATTAGCTTGGTTTAAATGTGGGTCCCAATTTGATTTCCCCCAACAAATCCAGCCTTGGGACCCACGGGCATCACCATGCTGTTGCCAAGCTTCCTGCAGAAGGCAGGAGGGCAGCACAGGGTAAAGTCTGGCTTCAGTTGGAGGAAAGGCTCATATTTGAGGGCCTGGGCATTAGGCCCCAGGATCCCTCAAGGAACACCCACACCTGTCCTGCTGCCTGGAAGTCCCATGCATATCCCCAAGGGACTTGCCAGCTTCCAGCAGCCGAAGGGATATGCTGCTTGTAGTTTTCTATGAACAGTAATGACAGTTTGCAGGAAGGAAAAATAAACTTGTCTGGGAGACATAATTGAGCAGTGTCTCTGATTTTATTACAGTGACAATGAGAATGATCTGTTCTTTCAGACTGATGGCCCACAACAGACTAAGGTAAGACCATGAGCTTAGATACAATCCATGGAGGGGCTTTGAGCTGGGAAATGCTCAAGGAAAAGGGTTTGGGACACCTTGACCCTGTGGTATTTTGTGATAGAATGACTGTCATGTCTCCCAGGGAGACCGGTGCAGGCTATGCTGACCTAGCCACTGTGCAGCTCCCACACCACACCATCTAAGGCATGGTGATGGCTCCATGCTTGCAGAGGGCCCGGGCCATGACAGTGGTGATAGGTTCGCTGTGTGATGTCAGAAAGACAGCCAAGGCTTCAAGTGGCTTCAACACAAATTTGATTTTCCTTTTAGGAGAGGGGCTCAGCCTGCATACTCCCTGGAGCCAAGTTCTGAGACTCAGAGGAGATAACCTTGAGAGTTAACATGTTGCCCCCCACTTTGAGGTGGAAGAGTTTTTTGCTCCCTGGTGTGAAGTTAGTGACAAGATATAGATGATATGACCAAAATGATGAATTGGGAGTTGAAAGTAAATTACTCATTTGCTATCTGATCTTAGACAAGTCATTTTACCATTTTGGGTCTCACCTGAAATGTTTCAAAACCAGCATAACTGGTTCAGTCTCGCCCGGAGTAGAGCATGGCTTCTCCCTCTGGCCCTTTGCTTCTCCCAGCCACCTGACTGTCAGTCACAGGTCGCACAGTCAGCATTCCTCTGTGCCATTAAAGGTCTCTCAACTGTCTCTCAAGCTTTTATACCACTGTCACACCTTAGGACAACCTCAGTAAGCCTTATCACAGTTACACAGTTTCTAAAATAACGGCAAAATGGTCACATCCTTTACAAATAGCCACCACTTTTAACATATTTGCAGAATGCTTATAAAACAGCATCCTGGAAAATAAAGAAATAATTAAAAACTTGCTGAATGAGCATAGATGTATAGAAAATTTAAATGCATAGTGTTAGAGTATTAAGGATTCAAAAAGGTGTAACGTAAAAACGTAGAAACTTATGGTTAGTGGAGCAGCTATGCAAAAGATACACAAGGTATGAACAAGATTTATTAAAAAAGAATGCCACATTTGGCATCAAAAAGCCCACATTCTGGCCTCTAACCTGCCAGGTGCCCTTGGGTGAGTCACCTGCCCTCTGTGGACTTAAGAGAGATGGCAGTCTTTCCATAGAAGCTCGGTTATGGGTCCTCCCACCACTCTGATGACAACACGGTTCTCTGGCCCAGCTACCTCAACACGCTCTCTTCCTTGGTCTTTCCACAGTGCTCCTTCCAAGACCTGGACCTCATCCCCCTGGGAGATGGGGGCATCCAGCTGAAAGTCTCCCACCAGCTCTACAACACGAGTTTCAGGCGGGCCGTGTCGGTCGTCATTGCAATGGAGAAGCTGAGGAAAGTGCCCATGGTCTTCCCCCAGGACCTCCAGGATGATGACCTACGGAGCCTCTTCTTCTTCATCTTTAAAGAAGGTACTTCTGAGAGCTAAGGACAGACAGATCTCTGTCACTTCCTTCTCTGTGTCCATAACTTAACAATTAAACTCCCCCAGAGCTGACATCCTGTGAATGAAAAGGGTGACATAGTAGACCTGAGAAGCTCAAGCCACATGCAGGCCTGAGAAGCTTGGTAACCCAGAGGAACCCCCCAGGATGGTCTGATTACAAATTGCCAACTGGGCGGTCATGTGGGCCATAAAGTTCCAAGCTTGTAGCTTCCTTCGCAAATGTCACTCTTTGCCTTAAGGAACCCTGTCCATTGTTCTGATGCTTCTTAGGAGAGCACACTTTTGAAATGTCAGAGTGATTTTCTTTCCCTGTGCCTGAAGGGCACAACTATAGATACCAAAGCAGGAGACCACAGACCCCCTTGTTGTCGTCTTGTTCCCACATACCGTTTCTATGTCTCTATGTCCGGCAAACGGTAATTATTAACTGTCCCGTAGCCACCAAGATAAAGAAAGCGTGTGTCTCTCCATTTTGTTTTTATCTAATCCCAAAGATATCCCGCTCTGCTTTCTCCTGCCTCCTGCATCTACCACCAATGTAATGGTCCCTACATTTTCTCCTTTGATTCTAATGCATAAAATAAGCTCAAAACTACTCCTGCCCTGGCCATTGTGGTTCAGTAGTTAGAGTTTCAGCATGCAGATCAGAGAGTTGTGGGTTTGAGTCCCAGTCAAGAGCATGTACCTGGGTTGTAGGTTTGATCCCCGACCACAGTTGGGGAGGATATACAGGAGGCAACCAATCCATGTGTCTCTCTCACATTGATCTCTCTCCTATCTCCCTTTCTGGGGATGGAGTCTACAACCTGGGCATGTGCTCTTGACTGGAATTGAACCTAGGACCCCTAAGTCCACAGGCCAACATTCTATCCATTGAACCAAACCAGCTAGGGCTAAAATTTATTTTTCAATTATAACTGGCATAAAAAATTAGGTTAGTTTCAGGTGTACATCATAGCAATTAGACATTTAAATACTTTATATGGTGATCCCCCATAAGTCTAGTACCCATCTGACACCATACATAGTTATATTAATACTATTAATAATCCCCTATGCTATACTTTACATCCTTGTGGCTATTTTTATACCTGGCAATTTGTATGTCTTAATCCCTTCATTTTTTTCATCCATTTCCCCAACCTCCCTCCTATCTGGCAACCATCAGTTTGTTCACTGTATCTATATTTCTGTTTGCTCATTTATTTTGTTTTTTAGATTCTACAATAAGTGAAATCACATGGCATTAGTCTCAAGCTGCTCCACTCTGTCCTCTGCTTTCCAAGCTTACTTGCATGGACTTGCCCTCCTTTCTTCCTCTCTCTTCTCTTGCCCCTACATCTCCACCACCACTCCCTAATGGCCTACAGGAAACTGAGAATAGAAAGCAAGATTAGAATAAACTGAGAAAACCATAAATATTGGCAGCTCCCTTTTGGGAAAGCCAGTGTAGGCATGGGAAACCAGCAATGGAATACATTTGAACTAGAACAGAATTAAGGAATCTAAATAGAGACTTCCCTGATCCCCTCCAAGACTCTGAAGGGTTAACAAAGGACCTTTATTTAACTATTAGAACATATTAAAATAGTAATTTGGCTGATCAATTATCTAAAACTATTCAAAAAGCGGTAAAGCTACTAAAATTGTGAATATATAGCTCCAGCAACTAAGCAATCAGGCCAGACCTCACCAAAGGGGAAGGGGTGTGCTTCAATGGTAGAAACCCAGGGCACCTTAAGGATTGTAAAAACCTAAAATGGGATTTAGAAAAAGAAGAGAAACAGATGCAAGCAAAGGGCTGCTCTGAGGTTGCTAAGAGGGCATTTCTCCTTCTTCTTACCAGTACCTTAGGAAAAAAATTAAATTACCATAAAAGGGGAAACTTCAAAGGCCCTTTGATTTTAATGTGTACAGAAGGAGCTGCCATACTGTCATTATCCTGGAACACTTTCTCAATCTGTTGAGCAAGTCCTCAAATTCTTGGTTCAGATAAACTCTTTGAACATTCCTTCATCACTGCCCTTTACAATATCAGACTCATCGGTGGGAGGAAAACAGAGAAGCCTAGACACCAAATTGATCATCTTAGTTGAAACTATTCTCAAAATAAGACCTTGATAACTACTCACATTTTCAAATCCGTCCATTATTCTTAGAGTGCTTCCTCTTACATTATTTCCTGCACATCTCATGCCCTTGTTGGCCTAGTATTATTGGATCACTATTTTTCTTAAGTCACTCTATTGCTCATCCATAGCAAGCAACAGTGCTGAAACTTGAACCCATGTCTTAAGGTGCCACATCCGATGTTCTTTCTCGTCCTAACTTCCTCCCCACTGTGTTACAATTTCTTGAGCTGTGTGTGTCCTCCAACAAGCCCAATGCCTCTCATCAGGCCTGCCCTGCTTGCTTTGTACCTAAACAACGCATGTGCTCCACATTTCAGAATCCATCGACTGCCTGTGGGATGACAGTTACCAGAGTGATGCATCCCTACAGTCACTGAGCTGCAGGCTCCAGGACATAAATCAAAAATCCCTGGTGCTGGCTGGACCACATGAACTGCAAGCTCTTCACCTGAATGGACAGAATGTGAACCAAGAAGGTAAGTGGGAAACCTTGATTCCTCTCTTGGCACCTTGGCAGGTTGCTAGTCATACACATTTTCAACATAGTAGAATATTAAGGCAAATTATCAACATCAGTGAAAACAACATGCTATAAAAACATGTGAGTTGTGTGGGTGGAGGGGGTCCAGTAATGACACCAGATTGACTCCCTTAGCACATTCATATTCTGGCAAGAGATGTAACTCTAAGAAATTAGACTGCTCAAGCACACCTAGGATCATGGTCCAGCCAGGTCATTTAACAACAGTACAACATCCGTGCTTCCATTAGAAAGGGGACTTGGATGGACATGAACTAACTGCCTGTGGATTCTTGTTTCCTATGGTTGATGTTGAAAGTAGAATGGTGAAGAAATAGTGTGTACATTCCCATTTCCATCTCTGCCCCTGCCCCTGTCCCCCTAACAGCCTTCCTACCCAACACCAGATAATGGGCCCTTATAGGGAAATTTCACTGATAAGCAGAACTGTTTATCTCTCTGCCATAACTAGCAAATCTTCCAAGTCTGGGGAGCCCATTAGCTGTGGGATCTGCCTGGCACTCTGCCACCATGGCTAAGCTCTTTGTGTAGGGATGTGGCCACAAGGAGCTGCTGTAAGAAGCAGTGTGTTCCCTTCCAGGGCTGCTGGCTTTGGAGAGAGGCAGCCCTGGGGAAAGTGTCCTGCTCTCAGCCAGGCCAGAACAATCCTGTTTCTTTAGAACTGGGTTGTGACCATGACCTTGGGGCCTCCAAGTGAAACCATTGTGACTAAGGAAAATTAACACGAGCGTCTGTCCTTGCAGACACTTGTCCCAGCTAAGCCTCTCCTCACCCAAGTTCTTCCCACTTGTTGCTCTACATCTTGGAATAGATTTGTGCTTGGTTTCTTTCAGGAGCCCAGCTTAACCTCTTTGCTTGCCTTTCATGTTGGTCAAATTGTTCTCTCATGAAATGGGCCCATCACCACATGACAAGATGGCTTCCTTCCTTCAGTTTTTAAAAATTAGACCCCCTAATTCTTCACTGCCACTGTAATAGGCTCTGGGAAGTCCCCAGACCTTCTCTGGGAAAAACTAGAATCAACCAACTGAACCTGCTTATAACCCATGAGAATCATAGGAAGGTTCTCACAGAGAAGGCTAAATTAGACAAGCCTTGGGCTTGGGGTCCAGTGGTTGGGCCAACCCTGCCCTGCTGTGTATCCCTGAACACAAGGCCCCTCTTCTTTCTCCAGTGGTGTTCTGCATGAGCTTCGTGCCAGGAGACGAGAATATCGACAAGATACCTGTAGCCTTGGGCATCAAGGAAAAGAACCTGTACCTGTCTTGTGTGGTGAAGGACAAGAAGCCCACCCTGCAGCTGGAGGTGAGTGAGCACCAGCAGCCAAAGGCCCTTCTCAACTCCTCTGAAGCACTCTTAGCCATCTCTGACTTCCAAGGCAACCTTCTCCCTCCCCACCCCCCACCCCCTTCACCACCCCGCCCTCTGAAAACCTGGGGGCAGACCTACTCGACAATTTTTCGGAACTGTAAATATGCAATTGCTAAATGCATGCAACTTTCACTTCCACTGCAGAAAATTAAATCATTTCCCTGATGTTATTATGCCCAGTCAACACCCAACAGATAATGCAGTGTTAGGGCTGTTCCATTTGATACATGACACCTTGGGAAATTAATTAATTCAAGAAAACTGTCACCTGTTGTCATCTCCACTCTACTCCCAACATCACAATCCTTCCCACTTTTCAGCCTGCTTAGCTGAAGTTTCTTTTCCAAGTTGAAATCATTTTAGTCGAGGCCATTAAAAATTTTAATTTAATACACACACACACACACACACACACACACAACACAACACAGCAAAAATCCTTAGAAACTAAGCACTCCTGGAAGCCTTAACCTAATTTTCACTTTTAAAAAATGCCCACCTAGCTAAAGCCGGTTTAGCTCAGTGGTAGAGCATCGGTTCGATTCCAGTCAGGGGCATGTACGTTGGTTGTGGGCACATCCCTGGTGGGGGATGTGCAGGAGGCAGCTGGTCGATGTTTCTCTCTCATCGACGTTTCTAGCTCTCTATCTCTCTCCTTTCCTCTCTGTAAAAAATCAATAAAATATATTTTAAAAAAATAAAAAATAAAAAATAAATAAAATAAAAAATGCCCACCTATATTATGCTCCCTGCCATCTGACACTCAGTTCTAGAAAACGCTGAGAGCTCCTTCAGTCACTGCGTGGAAAGTTGGGGTCTCGAAGATCCCTGGGGCACTTGGATCCTGGTCCTGGCTCTTCAGTCTCCTCTCTCACTGACCCAGAGAATGGTCTCACCAGAGTCTCACTGTTCCTTCCCTCTCAGAAATTCTTCCTTTCTGTTTCGCTGCAGACATTTGACCCCCACGGTCAGTCAAAGAAGAAGATAGACAGGCGGTTTATCTTCAACAAGAAAGAAATCAGGGACAAGGTAGAATTTGAGTCTGCCCTGTACCCCAACTGGTACATCAGCACCTCGCAAGAGGAACAGATGCCCGTCTTCCTGGGAAGTACAAAAGGTGGCCGGGATATAACTGACTTCACCATGGAAATCCTGACTCGCTGAAGAGACCCGTACCCAGGGGACCCATCTGTGCTAAGTCACCGCGATGGCTGCAGAAAGGGTGCAGAAGGGTTTGAACATGGCGGGGGCTGTGCTTCACTGTGGCCTAGTCAATGCCCAGCTGCTTTCCCCACAATAATTAGGGAGAAGCAGTCCCCTCCTTCCAGGGCTAATCCTCTCTCCTCTCTGCTCATTCAACGCCAGCCAGGCAGAAGCCACTGCACATTCGGTTCACAGAATCTCTCTGTCCTTTGCACCCAGCTTCCAACAAGCAACCACTTAAATTATCTGTTTATTTATTTATTATGGGTTCATCTATTTAATTTCACTCAAAGGGCCAGAAAGTAGCTGTTCCTGTGAAAGTTTTGCAATATCTAAGGAGCCCATGCCATTTGGATGAGTGTGCTATCTTTGTTTCAAAACCTTTCACTAGGCTCAATAAGCTCAGATTATTTTTATAGGAATATTTGTGAATGAGAAGTAAGATTACACTGCTTCAATAATTCTGAAATAAATATCACTGAAAAATGAAATTGTTCCCATGTGGTGATTGACTTCCTGGATCTGATGAAGAAGAGGGATAAATGGGGGCACGGGAGCCTGGTGGGGGATCTGGAAGCCCACTCCTCATGGACTGCTGGCCACCAAGTACATGGAAGCATCCCTGCCCAGCAGAGCCGCCTTCCGCCCATCCCTCATTTTCTGTTTTTCAATAAAAGGATATTCGGTGCAAAAGGCTCATCTGAAAACAGGATAAGCTGAAGCATTATAGGACTGAGGGCTGTGGAAACGACTGCTAACAATTTCACTATTCATTTACTGTCCTCTGTTCATTATATATATGTATTATGGGCCCTACCTGGTTTGGCTCAGTGGATAGAGCATCAGTTTGCAGACTGAAAGGTCCCTGGTTCAATTCCGGTCAAGGACATGTACTTTGGTTGCAGGCACATTCCTAGTAGGAGGTGTGCTGGAGGCAGCTGATCAATGTTTCTCTCTCATCGCTATTTCTAACTATCCCTCTCACTTCCTCTCTGTAAAAAAATAAATATCTATATTTTTTTAACTTAAATGCTATGTACTAGGGCCTGGGTGCACAGAAACAAGAAAGGTAAGGCATTCCTCGTTAGACAGGAGAGATACACAAGCAAACAAAGGCAACATGACAAGTAGAAGTGATACGGTATTGGGGGAGTGATAGATCTGCTGTGAAGGATGAGGGTCACTGAGCAACATACCAGTCAGGCCTCAAGGAAGAGCAACAGTCCCCCACCTAGAAATAGAAAAGAAAGAAACAGTCACGGGCCAGTGTGGCAAAGGCGTGGGGTGTGAGAATGAATGATGCAGATTGCAGGAGTCACTTTGAATATATCTTTCCCCGCCCTCCTGGCCTGCAAAGTGTCTGCTGTGAAATCCACAGATACCTTTATGAAGGGTTCCCTTGTATGAGAGACTTTTTTCTCTTACTGCTTTTAAAAGTCTCAGTCTTTGATTTCAGTATAATATGTCTTTAGTCGTATTATAATATGTCTTGGAGAAGAACATTTTGGATTAAAATTATGGGGTAACCTAATAGCTTCATAAAATTGGATATCCAGGTCTCCCCCCAAATTTGAAATGTTTTCAGCATTTCTTTAAAAAAGCTTTCTGTTCTTTCTCCCTCTCTTTTCTTTCTGGATTCCAATGGCATGTAGATTTTTGTCTTTTTTTTTTTTAATTTCTTTGTTGATTAAGGTGTTACATATGTGTTCTTATTCCCCCCCATTACCGCCCAATCACCCCCACTAATGCCCTCACACACACACATACACACACACACACACACACACACACACACCCCGGTTGTTTTTGTCCATTTGTTAGGCTTATATGCATGCATATAAGCATACAAGTCCTTTGGTTGATCTCTCCTCTTACCCCCTCCTCCCCTACCTTCCCTCTGAGGTTGGATGGCCTGATCAATGTTTCCCTGTCTCTGGATTTGTTTTTGTTTATCAGTTTATGTTGTTCATTATATCCCATAAATGAGTGAGATCATGTGATATTTATCTTTTTCTAACTGGCTTATTTCACTTAGCATAATGCTCTCCAATTCCGTCCATGCTGTTGTAAATGGTAAGAACTTCTTTTTTTTTTTTTTTTTTACCTCAGAATAGTATTCCATTGTGTAGATATACCACAGTTTTTTAATCCACTCATCTGCAGATGGGCACTTAGACTGTTTCCAAATCTTAGCTATAGAAAATTGTGTTGCTATGAACATGGGAGTGCATATATTCTTTCTAATAGATTGTTTCTCTTTTTTTTTTTTTTTTTGATAATTGAGTCCACTGGTTTTCTTTTTTTATATATATATTTTATTGATTTTTCACAGAGAGGAAGAGAGAGGGATAGAGAGTTAGAAACATCAATGAGAGAGAATCATCGATCAGCTGCCTCTTGCACACTCCCTACTGGGGATGTGCCCACAACCAAGGTACATGCCCTCAGACTGGAATCGAACCTGGGACCTTTCAGTCCACAGGCCGACGCTCTATCCACTGAGCCAAACGGTCCTGGCTAGATTGTTTCTCATAATGGTATCTTATGAGTGCACAGGCTTTCTGTATTCCTTTATTTATTTTTATTTGATGCTCTAACTATATAATTTCAAGTGACCTGTCTTCAAACTGACTCATTCTGCTTGGTCCAGTCTGCTTTGGGAGCTCTCTATTGAATTCTTCAGTTCGGTCATAGTATTCTTCAGCTCCAAAATTTGTTTGGTTCTTATTTATGTTTTTATGTTTTACTCTTGGTTTTGCTTTTGCATTGTTTTCCTGGTTTTGTTAAATTGTTCATCTGTGTTCTCTTGTAGCTCTCTGAGCATCTTTGGATAAATGACTTTTGAATTTTTTGTTGGGTAATGCTTGTATCTCTATGTCTTGGGGTCAATTATTAAAAGTTTGCTGTGTTCCTTTGGTGTCATGTTTTGCTGGTTCGTGGTGATCCTGGTAGTTTGTGTCGGTGACTGTGCATTTGAAGAGGTAGTCACCTCTTTCAGACTCTGTGAACTGACTTCAGTAAGGAAAAACTTTCGCCTGAGGGTGGGGCATGCTAGAGCACGCTGTGACCCCACGTCTAGGAGTGCAGAAGCATGCAAATGCCTGTGTAGTTGTGTGCCAACTGCAGACACCGACTTGATATTCAAGTGAAGATGTTAAACAGAAAGATATGCAAGTCTGTAGCTTAGAGAAAATGCCCAGGCTGGAGATGTCAACTGAGGAATGGACAGCACACAGGAGGTACTGGAAGCAATGGGACAAATTTAGACCTCCTGGGAAGAAGGCAGACTTTGAGCTGAGCTTGGGACATGTTGGCTTCTCAGAGGAGAAGCCAGCAAAGGTGATTGGAAGGGCAGCCAGGGCAGAGGGAAAGCAGGAGGAGACCCAGGGGTGTGGGCATCACAGAAACCAAAGCAAGGAAGCTCTCCTTAAAGGAGGGACTATCACCTGCCTGCTGTGCTGCTGATAGGGAGAGATGAGGACATAGAAGTGGCCACTAGATGGAGGTCATTGGCAGCCTTAACCTGAGGGGCTCAGGGCAATGGTGGCTACAGACGGTCGAGAGAACTGGCTGGTGCAGGCATGGAGACAGCAAATAAAAGTACGAGTCTCCGGGACGGAACACAGACGTGGGGTGGTGTCAGGGGAGGGTCTCTTCATCAGGGCAGACACATGGGCATGTTCACAGTTGATGGCAGTACGCTGGGAGAGAGGGAGGAGTGGGCGGTGTCGGTGAGAGAGGGGTCCTGAGCAGGCAGAGGGAAATAAAGGCCAGAGCCCAAGACCAAGGTCATCCTCAGGGCCGCCGCAGCAGAAGGGAAAGCAGGTGGGTTCCACGCTGTGGTAAGAGAGTTCCTGCCGGATCGCCTCAGGAAAGATCAGCTGGACTCTAATGGCTCCAAAGGGTCGGAGGGACGTGGGGCTGGGCAAAAGTGAAACCTCTGTCCCTCCTGTTCAGCCCTCTCCCTGAAAGTAGTTGTACTCAGTATCCTGAACGTTTCCATCTCTATGTACTGGCTCTTCAGATCCTGCCCTAATGCACAATGCGCTCTCTCCAACGTAAAATATTTATGTTTTTAAAACAAAGTGTCTGTTAGCAACATATTGGTCCCCCACAAATGCCTCTATGGCAGAAGCATCTTGGGCCGGTGAGGAAATTTTGTTCCTGCAGACGTGACAGCACAGCTATTCACAGGGATGAGTAATGTGAAACCCTGGCACGTCACTCTCTGGGGCTACGGTACAGCAGCATTGCCCACCTTTGACCACCGCCCCTCCATCCATAGAAAGTGAGCTCTGGATTATCTGCCAGGAAGGAGGAGAGGGGACCCTCAGAGCCATTCATATTCCTGGCCAACTCCTCGCAAGTGACATGTTGGGATTCAAATAGCCTGGATGATGCCTACACACTTGGCACTCATCCCTGCTTATCGCCCTAAGTGGATGGAACTCAAGCACAGACACTCTTGTGCTTCCCTTTCCTGGTAATGACCTCAGTGACTTTTGCATCCGCCATCCCAGAGCAGGGAAAGTCAGGCTCCGAGCAAGCAGCTGGCAGAGGCTCCAGTCTGCAGAATGAATTCTTCACCCACAGCTATTTTTTTTTTTCCTGTCAGTAGAAATACTTCAGGCCTGAGCTGGCAAATAAGAGCTTGAGACATGTGCAGGGAAATTCTGGTCCTGGTGCTGCTGAGTAACCACTCTGAACTCGCTGTCTCCACCAGAACTGGCCTCACTGCCTTGGAAATTCCCCAGCTCAGGGAGTTTGCAATCGTCTTGACTTTTGGCCATTTCTAAGGCTGGGAATTAAATATTTGTGAAACTTGATTTGCAAGAAGAAGAAAAAAAGTGACCTTTCACCGAAAGAGAAGGAAGTAAATGCTATAATAAGGTTTATTCAGTCAGCTAAGACTCTCTCATCTTCCGCATGACCTCAACTGAGGCCACTGAGGGTGGTGCCCA